CAGACATGACTCGTATGGATTGACGGGCTGAACCCAGTGCAACGGTGAACAAATATCTGAAGTTGCTGAAGTATGGTCACCACTTTGGTCAAGGCAAATTTTCGACAGGCGCAAAGAAGTCCTTTGACTACCATTGGAGTATTGTAACAGTGACCTTATACTAGCTGTGGGTGTCCACCAGGTGACGGTGCCGAGCACTAGCCAGACTGCTTGAAGTTGAACTTAACAACCGTGTGATACCGAAACAGGACCAACATGTCTAGCTCATGTAACTGCCTGCCCTGCCCTGCCCTGCTCACCCTGCCCGCCCGTCTAGTCTAAAAAAGCCCCAGCAGCATCTTGACCCCAACATTCAAATTCACAAGTGCCAGCGATCCACCCGGCCCTCCGTGTTGGTCGGGCGGCTGCTGCCGCGCGACCTATCGTCACCAACGCGTCTGCTCGGCAGGGGAATGTACAACAAGCCGGTGGCGAACGTGCGTCCGATGATGGTGGGCGGCCGGATGGTGCAGCGGCCGGGCGTGGGCCAGTTCGGCCCGTCCCGGCTCTCCACGGAGCAGCTGACCCGCCAGGGCGTCTCCATGTCGCACATCACCGTGCCCAAAGGTGAGCAGACGGGAGGCGCTGCCGCCCGGGCAAGCGCGCCCGGGCCAGCCGCCCGGCGCCAGCGCCGCTGGGACGGCGGCCCGGACGGGGGGAGGGGGGGGGGGCACTTGCTCGATCTGGACAAGCAGCTGAATGTGTTTGATGCCGTGTGCCGCTTCTGTGGTCAGCTTCCCGCGATTAGGCGGCCAGGGCCTCGTTCCGACTGCGTCTCTGTGGGCGGCTCCGTGAGGGGAACGTTCGGGTCAGCCGGCTGTTACAGTACATAGAGCAGCGGAGAGCGGAGAGCCGACCCGTACAGAACGTCAACACGGGAGATGCGCGTGTGTCTGTGCCATAGCACCGCAGACGGCACCAGACCAGTACGGATGGCTGGCTCTAGAGCGGCGTTTTGGCCGAGTGTCAGAGCTCTGCCGTGACGTCGCGTCACATGGCTACCGTGGAGTCACGACGACACTGAAGGCTGCCTCTGGTTTCGGCACCAGCGAAGCCTTGTCGGCTCTTGGCACGCACCAAGGGCAGCTAAACGGGTGTTTGTGCTATGCTGGTGCCAGCATTGCGGAGAGTCTGGTCTCGCGTCGGCGCGCGATCCGGCCGTGACCTGGCGCGTGCTGACGTGCGCCGCTCCCTCCGCCGCAGATGTGACCATACCGACGGGCTCCGGTGACGGCGAGCCCATCCACCTGCGCGCCGGCCAGACGGTGCTCGTCATCCGCACGGCCAAGGGCGTCTACCTGCGCCTGCAGGACGGCCGCATCATCGCCATCCGCATGCCGCCCGGCGCAGGTGGGTGGCTGTAGGCTGGACGGACGCGCTGCCGCGCTCGCCGCAGCCGGACGTTGGCTCGTCTCGCTGCGTTTGCGTCGGGTAAAAGTGAATGTGTGTTATAGTTTTAAGTGGCCTCGGGACGTGTTTGTTTCTCCCGGTTCGCGTTAGCTTGATCGTTGTGCATGTTGCCGTTGCCGTATTTGGGCCCTCTCGGTCTGCTGTCTGCGCCACCTGCCGGTCGTCGTGTTCGCTCAGCGCCAGCTCACGCGGCTGTCTGCCTCCGCCAGAGGGCCGGAGCGTGCCGGACCTGCTCAACTCGAACCGCTATCAGTCGCGGGCGCCGCAGCCGCAGCCGTCGGCGGCCAGCCAGCCGGGGCCGTCGGGCATCCGGCGCTGCCGCGCGGCATCACCGTCGAGCGGGTGCCGGCCGGCGGCGGTGGCCAGGCGCGAGCGGCCGCCCGGCGGCGGCGGGGGCGGCCTGGACGCGCCGCGCCGCACCGCTGCCCCTGCCGCGCGCCGCCGTCAGCCGCTCGGCGCCGCGCTAAGACTCGGATCGGCGGCGACGGCTCGCTCAGCATCTCCTCGCTGCTCGCCAAGCCGGAGACGGCGGCGCCGGCGGCGACCGCGCCCTCGGCCGAGCGGCCGTCGTCGGCCGAGCCCGGCTCGCCGGCCGAGTCGGCGGCCGGCGCGGCGCTCCGTACCTGGACCGGGCGCTGGCCGGGCCGGAGGAGGCGGCGGGCGACGCCGAGCCGGCGCGGGTACGAGCCGCCGTCTGACCCGCTGGCGCGGTTGCAGGAATGGCGGCCGCTGCGAGTGAGACGCACCGGCGCAGCGGCCGCCACCCGATGACAAGGCGATGTCTGCGCAGCCGCAGCAGCAGCAGGAACAACAGCAAAAACAGCAGGAGCAGCTGCAGATGCAGCAAGAACAACAACGGCAGCTGCAGCAGGAGCAGCATCTGCAGCAGTCACAGGATCGACTTCAGCAGCAACAGCAGGAGCAGCATCGCCAGCACCAGGAGCGGCAACAGCAGCAACGCCTGCACCAACAGCAGCTTTTGTACGGGCAGCAGGGTCAGGTGCTGGCCGAGGAGGCGGTCGGCAAGCCGAGCAACCAGCAAACGGACAGCGAGCTTATGGACACTCACATTTTCGACCTGAGTCACAAACCTGGCTTGAGTAAGCGGCCGGGGCCGGAAACCAGCGACCAGTCGCTCGAGCTGCAGGCGTCGCGCCTGTCGCAGCAGCACCTGTCCGTCCAGCAGCCGGAGCAGCCGCCGCACGGCCAGCTGGCGTTGGGCGGGCCGGCTGGACCAGCAGCTGGCCGGCCCCGTCATGGAGCCGGAGGCGCCGCGTCGGCCATGGCGCGGCTGGACCAGCGGCTGGGGCTGCAGCAGGGCCACCTGCTGGGCCAGCCGCACGATCTGTCCGTGCACGGCCAGCAGCCGGGGCCGTCGTTCTCCGAGCCGCCGCGCTACGGGCCGCCGTCGGCGCCGCAGTTCGGCCACCAGTCGGCGCTGCAGGCGGCGCGCGCCCGGCCCGCCGACCACCCGTTCGGCGGCGGTCAGCGCGAGACGGGCCCGCCCGGCCACCGCCAGAGGGGCCAGCACCGCAAGCAGCAGCACCAGCAGCAGCAGCAGCAACAACAACAGCTGCTGCCGCCGCAGTCGGTGCAGCAGCAGAGCCAGCAGAGC